TGGTCAGTGTATGACATGGTGTCGTGGTATGAAAGAAAGTTGCAAAGGGCTGGCTTCTGTTGGTCCTTCACGACTCACTGGTTGGGGTCCTAGAGATGGTGCGACACAGTGGCTAGAGACGTTGTCAGATATGGCTCAGAATAGAAGCCAGTGGCGATCCTGCTGTAACCTTCTTTCACTTCATAAAAAGTGGATGTATCTTCCTTAACTGAAAGATTTCTTCTGGTTGTACCTTTCCGTTTCCCCCATTATTATCATTATCATTATTATTATTACACTTCCTTACACTAATCTGGTCGTTATTGTTCCTCTTCTTTTTCTTCTTTTACTCTCCTTACCTCTTTTTTCTCCTCATTCTCATTGTTTTGTGTGGCGCATATATATTTGGTGCTCCTTTGTACCAATATTTATGTGTTCAAATAAATAATAATAAATAAATAATCACTCTGGGTGATGGATGATACAAACCAGTCCAAAACATTCTATTGACACTCAAGGGAGCCGGAAGACTGCTTAATTTCTGTATCTCCACGGAATACCACTATATCATTTGCATGTTATATGACTTATAAATGGTTGTCTACGCAAGATACTCAGCATCCATTGGCCGGATACCATCAGCAACAGTCTACTGTGGGAGGGAACAAACCAGATTCCAGATGAAAGGAAATTAGGAAAAGACGATGGAAATTGATAGGACATACATTGAGGAAATCACCAAACTGCATCACGAGGCAAGCCCTAACTTGGAATCCTGAGGGGAAGCGGAGAAGAGGAAGGCCAAAGAACACATCACGTCGGGAAATAGAAGTAGATATGAAAAGGATGAATAACAACTGGAAAGAACTGGAAAGGATTGCCCAGGACAGGGTTGGATGGAGAATGATTGTGGGCGGCTTATGCTCCCCTACGAGCAATAACAGGCGTAAGTAAGTATTCTATGACTAAATTAAATAAAAAGGGAAGTAGTAAATAGACCTAACAAACACCACCTTAGGTTGATAGTTCGCCACAATCTCCGAATTGAATAGTAATGTTTGAGTAGACTGCCTTTAAAAAGTTTATGTAATTCCTTAGTACGCCTTTTAATGACGGACAATGCTATATAACCTCTTGGTCAACGAAGTCGAACGCCATCCTAAGGCCAACAAATAAAGCTGTTAAAAAACATATTCCTTTTATACAGTCCCCGTTTTTAATTCGAGTGGCTATTACTTCTGCACTTTAGTCGGAATTAATTAACCATGCCTATGTTACAAGAACTGATGAAGTAAATGTTTAGTCAATAGATCCGCGTCCAAGTCTGAAACCAGCCTGCACTTGCTGGTTTGGCTCCGCAAATATTCAGAGTAATATTTTACAAACAGATCCTTGAGTACAGAAATGTACGAAGATTAACTTCTTGATAATCAAAACATAATATTTAAGTCGAGTTTTGAAGTAAACAACTTCGAATTTTTAAACCACAAGATGAAAACTATTTGAGGTTCTAAGAAACTCGAATTCTTAGTGACTTATTGTCTAGAACAATACACAAAATATTATCAATTCGCATGCTAGTTTTAATGGAATCGACAAAGATAGCGGTAGTTAATGGACCTATTTGATGTTCAGTTATCATAGATTATTTTCAGTTTTTGATAGCTGAAACGGGTAAAAACCGTGTTAAGAGTTGTTGTGTACTGAACAGGTCTGCTAGGATGTGATGTATCTGTTTCTGTCAAATTTACAAGTCAAAACTACTGTTTCTTATTTCTGTTTCATAATTACGCTATACTGAACTTACTTTTTTTGTTAACCTGGATTATCATTTTACAACACTCTGGTAGACAACATCATGAATACAAACACATTTTTAACAGAATGAAGGGTCGTTTAGAACGTTTACACTACAAGCCTTAAATTTTATGCATAAAGGTTTGTTGGGAAATCTGAGAGTCACATAACTGGAAGCCAACTACAGAAAACACTGGATCTAAGTATTGTGCAGGAACGCAAAGATTTAGACTTGGTTTAACCAAACAGATGTTGTCAATGAACTACTCGGGGCAGTGGTCTTGAGTATATCAAGGTGCACAAGTGACCTTGATGTTTCAAATACGATTTTTCTTCCGATAATTAAGATCGGAATTGCTCATGGCTTCTGGACAATCGCCCTCGCACAACATAATATAAAAAAGTGCTGAGTGATTCTCTTCGGGCTCCTTTCCAGTTGTTTCCAATTGTAAAAGAGAGCCCCAAAAGAATGACTCTGCAATATTTGATATCATATTGTCAAGAAGCGAGATTAGGTCAATTAGTTTGATAATGACATTATATACTTAGAATGTAAACATGACCCCTAGGTAACAACCAAGTAGTATAGTTTATATTATTCACTACGAAGTGAATACAAAACTTGGGTGAATTCCCTAAATCAAGCAATAAGGAATATACATCCTACGTCAAAGAAACTTACTGGAGTCATATTTACCTCATTGGAGCTATTACTCATAAATAATTGTGAATTTTTGGGACCAAAACTCAACGGAACACGCAACAACTAACTGATTTAAGTAACGTAGGATGTAATAGAAATGGCACAGCAGTCTGAAATGTGGATAATATTCGATTCAGAATGCGACTAGCTCGATAACGCGTGAGAATAGAACAAGGAGCGTTTGTGTGTAGTAGTGTATTTGCGAACAACCAAAAGTGTGTCACGCTATGTTAGTATCACAACGGAAAAAGTCTTCAAGGTCATTTACTAAAACAACAGGTACAATCATTTAATGATAAATGTACATGCGGTGAGAAATTGACAAAATAAATACAAATAACATTGAAAACCATTTACAAAATGAGGCTGTCAGGCCTATCTCCACAAAGGCATTGATCTTCAGCACGAGTTATCCCCAACAACCCATTAAACAGATTGGAACAGGTAAGGAGACTTTGCTATGTGACACATATGCAGGTAGGAACCGCCCAAGCGAGCTGAAACATTGTCGACGCAACATTTTCAATAAGTTGCAGACTTCCTCATCCAGGTGTTCGTGCAACCATCAAGCTTTTAGCAGAACGTGTTTGCTGGCCTGGCATGAATAAAGACATGAGGGAGTGGGCACGCTCCTGTTTGAGCTGCTAGAAATCTATGGTGATTAGACGCAATCAATATTCCCTCGGCTCTTTCAAAACTCCCAACGCTCGTTTCAACCATGTTCATTTGAATTTGGTAATACCTTTACCAGATTCAAATGGACACTCTCATCTTTTAACCTGCGTAGATCTTTTCACTTGGTGGACAGGAGCAGTACCTACCAATTACATTTTGGCTGAAACAGTGGCCCGTGCCTTTGTCGAACGATGGGTAGCAAACTTCAGCTGCCCTTCGACCATCAGATCGCGGATGCCAGTTCGAATCTGCACTTTCTAGGTGTTCGCAGTGCAGTGAAAGCTGACATTGAATACCTCCTACACAAGGTACAATCGAAAGACACGACTCCGACACTTACGATACCTCATCTGATGGCCAACTCTCACGATGATACTCCAGCAGTATCTGAAAATAGACTCAAAACAACGCATTCTGGAAGAGGAGTAAGATTTCCAGAACATTTAAACGTGAGACACTTGTTGACATTTTGTTTCTTCCCGATTTTTCTTTGTATTGTATATAATATAAAAAACAATTTTAATATGCTTATATTTATATAGTTGTTCTGAAAAAAATACAAGATTTTTTGCTAATATGCTCGCAAATATATGTATATCAAAAGTTTTATAGGAAAACTAAAAAACATTCTATCGCTTGTGCATGATTATATTTTCCATTTTTCACCCGCTTTGTGTCTTTATGCACGTGCGAGTCTTACTTCGACATGCACTTACACATCCTTTTTTCTTTTCCAGTACGACTGGAAAAGACGAAAAAAGAACGACAAAATTTACGACGAACCGAAATTTTCACTGTGCCTTGTTTCTTTATTACTATATTGTACTACATAATCCGTTACAGTAAGGAAAGACGGCCAGACGCTGATTAACATAGCAAGCTATCAGAAGAATGCTTACCAACGGCAAACTCGTTGTGCTTAAACTTCTGGCTGGCCACGCCTTAGGGTCATCACTACCCAACTAGGGGGGTTGATGTATGAAGAATTGTCACATCTTATTAGCAGTTTGTAGTACCTCGCGTGGGTAGTTTGTGTCCAGTAATACCGAGACTTCGTTAGGTTGTACAACAACGTTAGAATCTAAATATTCCAAGTTCTTGAATGAAACTATGGACTTAATATTTTCTGTATCAACAATAAAGTCATGGAATGAACCATCTGTGGTATATAAATTGAGAGGATTTATTTGTCATTCCAGCATATAAAAGAAGATCAAAACAACTTCCATGAAACTAAAGACTTGTCAACGTCACTGCTGCAGTAGTTAAAATAATGAAAATAATAATTAAAATTAACATAATGTCATTCGTGGAAACCAGGGTTTTTTATACTGGGAACTAAATGTTTTCACAAAAGGTTTACTTTATTCAACAAATTCCGTGGCAAGAGAGTGGTGGGTAGACAATGGTAAATCGGCGGATGTTGTTCATATAGACTTCAGCAAAGCATTTGATAAGGCGTCATAAAATAGACTACTCTTGTGGCTGGAAAATCTAGGTATTGCCGGACCCCCCTAAAATGGTTGAAAGATTCCTTGGTAGTTCATAGACGGAAAGTAAAGATGAATTCCAAGTGCTTCTTCTGGAAACATGTACCTAGTGGCGTTCCGCGAGACTTACAGGTTTTCACACTCAGTCGTCCTTACTTGGAGCCTGCTACCTGAAGTAGTGGTGTCCGGCCCTTCAATTGACTCGTCTAAGAGTGGATCAGACATCCTCAGAAGCTTACTAGAAAAGGATTAACATATGTCGTAGGCCTTCCGTCCTTTCTACCCAAATCTGAATCTAAATCGTAGCTGTTTGTGGCGGTGCATTTGGCTTTTGTGCTACCATTTGGCGTGCACTAATGGATCAGAACGTCCAAATAACTTTTTACACGAAATCCAAACAGTAGGTCTTCAATAAAACTGTGAAATACCTCCAAGGTATTCTGTTCCCTCCGCACCGATTGCAGTACCACAGCACACGACTGTTGAAGAACTCAATAATTTAGTCAAAGTTCTGCTAGATGGTAATATGCTTTTCTTACACATTATTGTGCAGAAACCAGAGAGTCTAGGACATATCCGGAATTTACGTTTCTCGTGGACAATTTGATTCTAACTTCAACTCTGCATGAATATTTATCAGAGAAAGAAGTTATATCTGTGAGTCCTTGTTTAGCTAGATGTCATTGCTTTAGGAAACCATTGACATTGAGTTTTGTCCAAAACAAGAACCACCAAAATACGAAAGAGAATATGTACAGGATGACTTGATCAGCTGTGTCAAACGCTGTGATAAGTAGTAAGTAGTTAAAATGCGGTTAATGCTTCCTACTGATAATTGTTTAATAATTTTGTCAAATAAGGTTATAAAATTAAGACTGTAAAAGCGATCTTTGATTAAACATTTACTCAGTAGCAGACTGATGGTGGTTGCAAATCCGTAAAGTAATTGTTAGCAACTCGCTTAATTAATACCACATTGTTTTTTTACTTCACAGCAGATTGTCAAAAAATGATTAGCTCTCGGATAACGTGACTACTGAATTGGAAAGATAGTTGGTCTTACACTCTTAATTCATAACTTTTATTTTTATTAAATTATTTGTTTATGTTAGTTTATTGTAATTATAGATAATCTGCTAATGAGTTTAGAACAAATTGTGTAGCCTATATAAGTAGCTTATTTGGTTAATGTATGTAACGTGCTGCTTGAGCCCTCGAATGTAATAAGTTTTGCCATGTTCTAAATAAGCAAAATATACCTGTGAAACTTACATATTGGTTTTAGAACTTCAATAAGTAGCAACCGTATTTTAGTTATTTACTCTATCGTGTGTGTATATACTGTAACTGTGACAAACGAGTAGCTTAACACATAACGCTGATTGTGTTTACCCGTTTGCCCAGTCAAGTTTCGTTCACTTAACTTTAAGCCACATTGTGTGGGTTAGTAGTTTCACCAGGTCTCTGACTTAGATGAGATGCGGTCCAAACCTTTGACCTATTTCTGAAGTTTATGTGTTTTAAGCACTAGGCTACAGCTTCAAACAATTCTACAGTGATGTGATATTTAAAGCCACGGATTGATTATCAGTAAATGTGCCGGTATACAGTTATATCCTAGCTCTTGTAAGACAGATACACCAGAACACGTCTTAAATTACGCTAATGACACTAAAATATTATGTTTCCGCACTTCACCACTTAGGATAGCGATTAAATTATCATGAAACCCAAACCACACTGTTCAACCGGTTGATATCGACTAACTTTCCTCGTTTTTCTCTGAATTTGTTTTGTTTTTTTGTCAGCATTCTAACAGGTGGTTACGATGGTACACTGCATATATGGAGCTTGGATAGCAAAAGTGCCGTATTATCTATGGAGTTGGAGGAAAAAGTTAAATGTGTAGAATGGATCAGTCTAGGTAGGTCTCCTATTGTACTCTTGGATTTTGTAAGCACCTTTATATGTGGTCATATTAGTATGTAGAATCAATATAGCTTTGAATGATTTTGGATTTACCAGGACTCACAATTATAGGGGGCATATGTGCTGTTTTGAACTGTTAGTAGTATTATCATGCGTTACAAATATATTCCTTATTGCTTGATTTATGGAATTCACCCAAGTTTTGTAGTCGCTTCGTAGTGAATAATATAAACTATACTACTTGGTTGTTACCTAGGGGTCATGTTTATATTCTAAGTATATAATGTCATTATCAAACTAATTGACCTAATCTCGCTTCTTGACAATATGATATCAAATATTGCAGAGTCATTCTTTTGGGGCTCTCTTTTACAATTGGAAACAACTGGAAAGGAGCCCGAAGAGAATCACTCAGCACTTTTTTATATTATGTTGTACGAGGGCGATTGTCCAGAAGCCATGAGCAATTCCGATCTTAATTATCGGAAGAAAAATCGTATTTGAAACATCAAGGTCACTTGTGCACCTTGATATACTCAAGACCACTGCCCCGAGTAGTTCATTGACAACATCTGTTTGGTTAAACCAAGTCTAAATCTTTGCGTTCCTGCACAATACTTAGATCCAGTGTTTTCTGTAGTTGGCTTCCAGTTATGTGACTCTCAGATTTCCCAACAAACCTTTATGCATAAAATTTAAGGCTTGTAGTGTAAACGTTCTAAACGACCCTTCATTCTGTTAAAAATGTGTTTGTATTCATGATGTTGTCTACCAGAGTGTTGTAAAATGATAATCCAGGTTAACAAAAAAAGTAAGTTCAGTATAGCGTAATTATGAAACAGAAATAAGAAACAGTAGTTTTGACTTGTAAATTTGACAGAAACAGATACATCACATCCTAGCAGACCTGTTCAGTACACAACAACTCTTAACACGGTTTTTACCCGTTTCAGCTATCAAAAACTGAAAATAATCTATGATAACTGAACATCAAATAGGTCCATTAACTACCGCTATCTTTGTCGATTCCATTAAAACTAGCATGCGAATTGATAATATTTTGTGTATTGTTCTAGACAATAAGTCACTAAGAATTCGAGTTTCTTAGAACCTCAAATAGTTTTCATCTTGTGGTTTAAAAATTCGAAGTTGTTTACTTCAAAACTCGACTTAAATATTATGTTTTGATTATCAAGAAGTTAATCTTCGTACATTTCTGTACTCAAGGATCTGTTTCTAAAATATTACTCTGAATATTTGCGGAGCCAAACCAGCAAGTGCAGGCTGGTTTCAGACTTGGACGCGGATCTATTGACTAAACATTTACTTCATCAGTTCTTGTAACATAGGCATGGTTACTTAATTCCGACTAAAGTGCGGAAGTAATAGCCATTCGAATTAAAAACGGGGACTGTATAAAAGGAATATGTTTTTTAACAGCTTTATTTGTTGGCCTTAGGATGGCGTTCGACTTCGTTGACCAAGAGGTTATATAGCATTGTCCGTCATTAAAAGGCGTACTAAGGAATTACATAAACTTTTTAAAGGCAGTCTACTCAAACATTACTATTCAATTCGGAGATTGTGGCGAACTATCAACCTAAGGTGGTGTTTGTTAGGTCTATTTACTACTTCCCTTTTTATTTAATTTAGTCATAGAATACTTACTTACGCCTGTTATTGCTCGTAGGGGAGCATAAGCCGCCCACAATCATTCTCCATCCAACCCTGTCCTGGGCAATCCTTTCTAGTTCTTTCCAGTTGTTATTCATCCTTTTCATATCTACTTCTATTTCCCGACGTGACGTGTTCTTTGGCCTTCCTCTTCTCCGCTTCCCCTCAGGATTCCAAGTTAGGGCTTGCCTCGTGATGCAGTTTGGTGATTTCCTCAATGTATGTCCTATCAATTTCCATCGTCTTTTCCTAATTTCCTTTCATCTGGAATCTGGTTTGTTCCCTCCCACAGTAGGCTGTTGCTGATGATATCCGGCCAATGGATGCTGAGTATCTTGCGTAGACAACCATTTATAAGTCATATAACATGCAAATGATATAGTGGTATTCCGTGGAGATACAGAAATTAAGCAGTCTTCCGGCTCCCTTGAGTGTCAATAGAATGTTTTGGACTGGTTTGTATCATCCATCACCCAGAGTGATTATTTATTTATTATTATTTATTTGAACACATAAATATTGGTACAAAGGAGCACCAAATATATATGCGCCACACAAAACAATGAGAATGAGGAGAAAAAAGAGGTAAGGAGAGTAAAAGAAGAAAAAGAAGAGGAACAATAACGACCAGATTAGTGTAAGGAAGTGTAATAATAATAATGATAATGATAATAATGGGGGAAGCGGAAAGGTACAACCAGAAGAAATCTTTCAGTTAAGGAAGATACATCCACTTTTTATGAAGTGAAAGAAGGTTACAGCAGGATCGCCACTGGCTTCTATTCTGAGCCATATCTGACAACGTCTCTAGCCACTGTGTCGCACCATCTCTAGGACCCCAACCAGTGAGTCGTGAAGGACCAACAGAAGCCAGCCCTTTGCAACTTTCTTTCATACCACGACACCATGTCATACACTGACCACCCCTTCCTTTCATAGAGCAAAACTGCTCTCACCGACGCGTTGTAGATCCGACCTTTTACAGCCAGACTGACATCACGAAAGCGCCAAAGATGGCCCAGATCGGCATAAGCCGCCCTGGCTTTCACTATACGTGCATTGATCTCATCACTCACACCCCCACCAGCACTTATGCAGCTACCCAGATACACGAACTTCTCGACTACTTCTATCTGCTCACCATCCAGGGTGAGTACAGGATTAGAATCCTACCAGTCTTGTGGAAGTACTTTGCACTTCGAAGCTGCAAAGCACATAACATACCTACGGACATTGATTGCCAACTCATTAAGTACGGATTGCATGGCTTGGGCATTATCGCACAGTAAGACAATATCATTCGCATACTGAAGGTCGAGAAGTCTTTCTCCAGGCAGCAGATCCACACCGCCATTACTTACATCCATCAGAGCTGTTTCCAGAATGTCATCGATGGCAAAGTTGAAGAGGAGTGGTGAGATTGGGCAACCCTGCCTAACCCCACTGCTCGAATGGAACAGTGGAGAAATGTAGTTGTATACCAAACTCTACCTGATGTGTTTGTATATAGGGCCTTTAAGATGTTAATAAACTTCTCAGGACCACCCTTCTTCAATAGACAATCCCAGAGAACAGTCCTGTCCAACGAATCGAAGACAGCCCTGGTGTCAAGAAACACTACAATTGTTGGCCTTTGATAAGTATGACGGTGTTCTAACATTTGGCGGAGGGTGAAGATATGATCAATACATCCTCGACTAGAACGAAATCCAGCCTGCTCCTCGCGAGTCAATATTTCTCGGGTTTTGAACAACCTACGAAGTATGACGGAAGCCAGCAGCTTGGACGCAATCGGGAGTAGACGTATCCCACGACAGTTGTTACAGGAACGACGTGAACCCTTTTTAAAGATAGGGACAACTATCGACTCATTTCATGACGTTGGTACACTCTCTAGTTCCCAGACCTTTGTAAACAGCGTCGTCAGTCCCTTAGTCAGAAAGTCACCACTATCTTTCAAAAGAGTCGGAGGTAAGTCATCTGGGCCAGGTGATTTGTAGTGTTTCAAGAGTTGGAGTTCTTTGCGGACTTCCGCCTCATTTGGTGGATCAGTCGTCACCGGCCATGGAGGGCAGGACAGTCTGACCGGTGTTGCCGGAGCAGCAGGCCAGTTGAACTGCCCTTCGAAGAATTCTGCCCATCGTCCAAGACGTCGATGGATGTTAGTGATTGGCGTCCCGTCATCCTCGCAGATTGTTTCGTTCGTACGTGGAAGTCACATCATCGTCTACACCAACTCATTGCATCGTAACAATCACCAATACATGATGGAGAACACATCGCAACCAATTTACTGACATCAATCCTTTGGTGGCGGTCACTTCGTTGGCCACTGAAAAGTAAGGTGAGATTGACGCAGACCAGTGCATGATCAGATTCCAGATAGGCAGTCTTGTACACAACCATGCCAGCGGTAGCTGATCGCGATGTGATCAATCTGAGTCCAGGGTTGAGATGCAGAAGGAGGACGCCATGTGGCACATCGGCGATGACTGTGCCGAAGGTTTGTGCTAGCCAGAAACAGGTTGTGGTCTGTGCACAGTTGCAGTGGACGGTCCCCGTTATCTGATCTGCGACCAACGAGTCCCCATCGGCCACCTAAACGACTCTCTTCTGTGCCTAGACGCCCGACCTGAGCATTCAAGTCTCCGGCTAGTACTACAATAGCTGTCGAACGCACTTTCTGGAGAAGAACAGATAACGTGGTAGAATTCATCCTTGATTGCATCCGGGCTGCAATCTGCCCCCAAGTGCCCTGGTACGGCCGAGAGTGAGGAGAGTCAGCTCTCCCTCTCGAAATGCTCTCACATGGCCATGCGTATATAGCTTCTGCCAGGGAAGTCCTACTCACTGCCTTCTCGTGGTGATGGTGTTTACGAAATTGGGAGGACGAAACGCGAATGTCCGGCGCTTTAACCGGGTTGGTGGACATAGAGAGTCCACCCAGGGGAGTTGGAAAACCCTGATTCCAAACCAATGGTGCACATGGGCTCCAGTATCCTAAAGGAATAAATGGCTCATGAACCAATCGTTGGTCACCGGCTTCCATGGAACTGCATCTCCTTACGATGCTCCACTGCCTTGTGGATCAGACCTTCAGGTCAAAGGCTCGAAGAGTGGCCCCCTAAGAAAACCACCTGCTTCGGTTTGGGCAACCGGGCAGTATCTCAGCCCTCACATAAATCGAATGAGATTTATGTGGCGCATATGTATTTGGTGCCTCCTTGTACCAATATCTTTGCGTTAAAATAAATAAAATAAACTGTCGGGGTATAAGCGCTTAGTGCGATGAAGATGCACGTAAAACAAGCTTTTTGAAGC